CCCTCGGTAAATTCCAGAGGCTTCTCGGGGGGCGGGGGGCATACGTGAGCAAGTCTCGGAGATGCCTCGAGCGAGCGCGCGTGGAGCAGGGAGGAGGCAGGATGGGGCAGGAAAAAGGTGAGCGGTAACGTGAATGATGGACGAGGGAGACGGGACCAGGCCCGAACTGTTTGTTTGAGGGCATCCATGGAGAGGATGTTCCCTGGAAGCGGCGTCGAGAGTGCGAATGCATCTCTGGAGTGGCGGAGGAAGCGGAGAGGAGGAGGGACGAAGAGGAGCAGGAAGAGGAGCAGAAAGAGGAGGAGCAGGAGGAGGAGGAGGAGGAGGAGGAGGAGGAAAACGATCGTGAGGACGAGGATGAGGTGGAGGAGGATGAGGTGGAGGAGGAGGAAGAGGAGGAGGAGGAGGAGGCGGATTAGGAGCAGGAGGAGGAAGAGGAACATTGCAAAGAGGAGAAGGACGAGGAGGAGGAGGAGGACGCCAAGCACGAAGAGGAGTATGAGGAATACAAGGAGGAACGCGGCGAGCAGGAGGAGGAGCAGGAGGAGGAACAAGAAAAGGAGGAGTGCAATGAGGAGGCAGAGAATGAGGAGGAGGAGGAGGAGGAGGAGGAGGAGGAGGAGAAGACCGAGGAGCACCAGGAGGATGAGGAGGATTCGTATGAGGAGGGTGCTGAAGAAGGAGTTAAATGAGTATGTATGGAAGGAGGAGGAGGAGGACCAGAAGGATCAGGATGAGGAGGATGACGGGGACGGCGAGGAGAAGCGGGAGGAAAAGAAGACGGGAATGATGATGAGGAGGTGTAGTGGAAGGGGGGAGGGCGAGGGCGAGAAGGAAAACGATGTGGATGCAGAGGAGGAGGAGGAGGACGACGACGACGATTACGAAAAGCTCGACGACAACGCCGAAGGCGCAGGCGGATCAGGAGCAGGAGGACGCGCAAACACTTTGAGGAGCCACCTTGGCTCAAATATTATGTTTGGGGGATGCTGGACTCTGGCCATAATTCTTGGGGATCGCACAAAGTTCGGCCAGACCCAGGGCCCAGGAGGGGCCCCCCAAACCCGAGTGCTCCCGGCTCTCGACTCTTCGACCATCGCCGAAGAGGCGAGTATCCATTCCTGCGCACGCATGCCTTGGCCTGCTACGGAGAAGCTGGAGCACACATGTGCCGGCCAGGCCCAGTCGTGCTGCATGCTTTCGGCTTCCGGCCGTATTTCTTTTGCCAGGCCGCGCCAAACTTGAAATTTTCCCGGCGAAGGGCCCAACCATATGCAGTTGTGAATACCGTCGTTGTGGGTATCGCCCTCGGTGGATCTCCCTACGGGTCCACCAAACGTGTGAGGGGGGTGCCGAAATGGAGGCGGCGGTGCCATGCGAACCCTGCCAGTGTGGGGCATTCGGCTGAGCTCCTTCTGTGGCCACGAAGCGTGTAAGGGGTGTGCCGAAATGGAGGCGGCGGTGCCATGCGAACCTTGCCACGGGGGCCGTCGGCGGAGCTCCCTATTGGGCCACGAAGCGTGTGAGCGGTGCGCCGAAATGGAGGCGGCGTTGCCAGGCAAACCGTGCCACTTGGACCTTCGGCGGAGCTCCCTATGAGGCCACGGAACGTGTGATGGGTGTGCCGAAATGGAGGCGGCGGTGCCATACGGACCCCGCCACTCGGGCCTTCGGCGGAGCTCCCTGTTGGGCCACGAAACGTGTGAGGAGTGTGCCGAAATTGTCGCGGGCCTACGTGATCATCATGATGATGGCGATGATGATGGTGATGATGATGACGAGTATGGTGATGATGATGCTGATGATGATGCTGATAATTATGGTGATGATGCTGATGATGATGACGATGATGATGGTGATGATGATGCTGCTGCTGTTGCTGATGTTGCTGATGATGCTGATGATGATGATGATGATTATGATGATGATGATGCTGATGATGATGATGATGATGATGATGATGATGATGATGATGATGATGATGATGATGATGATGATGATGATGATGATGATGATGATGATGGGAGGAGGGTGGAGGGGGAGCGGGAAGGAAGGAAGGAAGGAAGGAAGGAGGAAGGGACGCGGGGCGCTGTCTCTTCAAAACGAGGACCCAACACCACAGGATGGTTGGGACTGGGACTACCAGGAGGTTTTAGTTTTGTGTAGTCGTGGCATTGGCTCTTTTTGTGTTACTTCTTTGCAGGCCCACGCGAGCGCGATGTTCCCTACTCTAACCATCCTGTCCGCACTGATTATTCCAGCCCTTAGTGCTTCCAGCTGCCCCGTCACTATCGGGCCTTCTCGGGCGCGGAAGGCCGGGCTCGGCGCGGCCGCCTCGGCGAGCCACCCGTCTGCTCACCGGCAGCCGCGAGGGTCAGCAAGGAGGTGCCGCAGGTTCTCAGGCCTCCCGAGTGGGATCCGAGATGGTGGGGTCGGCGGCTCTCGCGCCGCATCACCGATGCATCGGCAATGCGGCTCGATGCTGAACCCGATTTTCTCCACGCAGGCATCGTCGATACGCTGCGGACGTCGCCGATGCATCGGCAATGCGGCGCGACTCTCAGACCTCATCTACTCGGACCCCATCTGGGAGGCCTCGACTAGGTGAGGCACCCCCATGTTAGATGCTAGCTTCTGGGGCCTCTCTGGGGCCCACCGTACAGATGTTCGGCTCTAGCTCGACTCTAGTTCGATTCTAGCTCGACTCAATTTCGATGCAAGTTCGGCGCAAGTTCGACGCAAGTTCGGCTCAATCGGGGGCCAAACGGTGTAGTGACCGCACCGCGTGGTGAGTCAGTTGGGATTCGGGGTCACCATGCGGTTTTGGAACTCGGGTTATTCTCCGAGGATGTCTCGATAGATTGGGGCCTCCGAGGTCCCAAAACAGTGCGGTCACAGACCGCGCTGTGAGTTTATTGGGGGTTCCAAGGTCCCAACGCGGTCCGTCACCAGATGCATTCCCAAACGTAAGTTCGACTCAAGTCGAAGGGCGTTCGACGCAGTATCGACGTACACGTGGAGCGAGTGGCACCAGGAAGGACCCCAGAGCAAGCATCTAAGCCCGGAGGTGGCTCAGGTGAGCCACCCCCGCGGGGAGGCGAGTGATCCCCACCCGTCCAGCGACGAACCGCTCCCTGAGTGAGGAGTCGACCCTCTCGGGCGTGCGGCCGCGCGGAAGAGCCTACTGGGTACCCCATCTTCGGCCAAGCTTCTCGACAGGGCGCTGCCCCGTTCACCGACCGCGCCGCTGCGCCCCTGGCCTGTGCCTGCGGGCCCCGCGGCGAGAAGTGGGATCTGGCCGGAAGAGGAGGGCTCTGGGCAAATTGGCCTCTCGGGCAGGAGCGGTCGGAGAGCATGGCCACGACGCTGACACGAGGACCACGTTGGTCTCGAGAGGGGCACTGGTGTCGGGGCCGTGCTCAGAAAGGCTGCCTCGCTTGGCGTTCCGCGTGGTAGCACGACGACTGTATCTCGTCCGAGTGCTGAGTCCTGGAGTGAACTGAAATCTGACTTCCCGAGAAAAAATACAACATCATGAAACACCACGTCTGGAGCCCTGGACCCCATCTTCCAGCGCCATGTTCCGAGCCAGATCCATCTGCCAGGGCCCTGGAGTGCGAAAGCGAGCGAGTACGCCCGTTGTGGGGAGGATGCGGCGCCCGGATCTGAGGGCGTGTCTCCTCGGATGCGCCCGCTGCCCGGTGCGGCGCCCTCCCTCGCGGCCGCTCTCCCCGTGTCCTTCTGTAGGGGTTTGGTGCGCAGCGGGCCCTGCCGCGCCCTGGGCTGCTGCTGCCCGACGCCTCCTGGACATGCGAGGCCCTGCCTGTGTTCTGTGTGGGGTGCCCAGAAGTCAGAGCGTGAATTACCTACCCCGCTTTCGCTTCCAGGAAAAACCAAGTCATACCACGCGCCTCCTCCTCAAGCGGCCTGACCAGTACAGGCCGTAGTTTGGCATCGCTTGGTATCTCTTGGAAGCGAGGGTGGTCAAAAGCGGGGTAGGTTTGTTTTCCCCCTAAGAAGGCCCGACCCCTTCCTCATGGGACCTCCCAGAGGGGGTCGGAGTGATCTTTAGGCAAGGGGCCGAAAGAAGGACCGCTTTGTGCTCAGGAGTGGCTCGGGTTTTCGGGCCGTTCCTTAAACTTCTGTCGTGGAAGCTGTTTGCGGCCTAGGCCCACCGTGGCCAGAAAAGACATTTCGTTCCTTATTATGCGTGCCGTAAGGTAGCACGATGACTGTAGATGGGGTCGATTGGTCGCGCCGCATCGACGATGCATCGCCGATGCCGCTCGCTGTGGCGAGCCCGATTTTCCATTCGTCGACGTCGCCGAATCATCGCCGACGTCGACGGTGCATCGCCGAGACATCGGCGATGTATCGGCGATGGAGCGCGATCCTCCCACCCCATCTACTCGGACGCTATTTGGGAGGCCCATCTGCGGCCCCGATGCCCCCAGGGCCAGTTTTTCACCCCGATGCTTTGTTTGACGGTCCCGAGTCCCGGGGCCTGGCGGGGGCGCCCAGAGGCTGAGCGCGGCCCAAACCTGTCCGTCGCTATTCGCTCACGACGCTGCATGTCTGGGTTCGTGTCCCGCTGGCCCCTCCAAGGGTGCAGCCCGACCAGACTTCCACGGAGAGTCCAGCCGTGCTGACGAGGGCTCTCCAGGGCGAGCAGCCAGCCACTGGCCTCTGCTCCTCCCCTGAGATGCCCCGCCGAGGGAGCGTCCCCGACGCCTCGACCCCCTCGAGGAGGCGCGGCCCCTCCCGGGGGGCGCCCTGCCACGACGCCTCGGGGCGCGAGCGGGCCGCCCGCGCTCGCCGCGGGCCTCCCGCGGGCCGCCCTCCCGGGTGCGCGCAGGGCGCGACGCGCTGGGCGGGGGCCGCGGCCGCGCTGGGGGGCCCGGGGGGGGCGGGGGGGGGCGCCTGCGCTCCCCGACCTGCGCCGCCGCCGTGGACCCATCAACGGGCTGCGGCTGCCCGCGCCCCCGGCGGCTCCCCCGCAGGCCTCGCCGCGCTGCCCGCCCTGGCCGCGCTGCTCGCGGGCGCGGCCGCGCCGTGCTCCCGGCGCGGCGCGCTGGGCGGCCGGCTCCTGAGCGACGCGGGCGCGCCGGACCGCAGCGGGCCCACCCAAATTTTGCCAGCCTGGAGCGTGTCCCTATCCCTAATGTCTGGCATCCCCTCACCTCGGTGCCGGTCGCAAGGATCCCCCTAGTTTTTGAGGGCGCATCCCTGAGGTTGTCATCGCCCTGGGCTCGCCGATTTTAGGGGGTAGGGAACAGTTTGAGGCTGGCTCAATCTCTAGGCCTCCCAAGGCGGGTCCGAGCAGTTGTGGCTGAAGGATCGCTCCGCATCGCCAATGTATCGGCGATGCAGCTCGAAGGGTAGCCAGATGTTATCCATGCCAGCGTCGTCGATGCGTTGCCGACGTCGCCGATGCATCGCCAACGCATCGTCGATGCATCCGCGATGCGGCGCGGTCCGACCCCACCTGCTCGGATCCCATTTGGGAGGCATTTGCGCACTCGGGAGGCAAACAATGTAACAATGATACGCTGGCGTTTGGAGGTCGTCAGCGTGTTGCTCTTTTGCGTTATGTTTGCTCTAAGGCATGGTGCAGTTGCAGCAGTAATGCGTTGATGGGCTCTCCACGGCGGCGTGCCATTGATATTGCTTTTGCTCCACCGCAAACTCTTCAGACGCCCTGAGTTGTCGGGGCAAGGCGTTGACAGGAATGACTATCTGCTTGCTCGCGCCTCACGTTTTTGCACCAGGTTTTTCTGGACGGTTCTCTCTTCCTAGTTGTTTCGGATCGGCTTGTTCTGGATGTGTTCTTTGTCAGGCACTCTCTTTGTCCAGCACTCTCTTGGCACTTGACCATCGGCTTTGGTTGTCCCCAACCACAGGCGCAGAGGGTGCAGAGCTCTACCAGGACCATGCTTATCCTGGGTCACGCGGGTACCCACATTGTTTGTGCGGTCTCAAAGCAGTGCGGTGACAAAACGTGCGGTGACATCGGAACGCCCAAAGACCTCACCGAACGGTACATCACCGCACGGTTTTGGGACCTCTGAGGCCCCAGTCGCTCGAAACATCTTCGGAGAACGACCCAAGCTCCAAAACCGTGCGGCCACCTCGAACCCCCACTGACTCACCACACGGTGTGGTCACAGCACCATTTGGAGGGCCCCCGATCTCCCGATCTCGACGATCTAAGAGTCCCCCGAAGCTACCATCATGAGCGATGAACGTATCCGACCATCCATGCCCACGCCGCAGCGATGCGCGGCCCCGTGGGCACGCGGCTTCGCGGCCGACGCCACGCGTCCGCCCCCCTCCACCGGGCATCTGCACAGAGCTGCCCCCCCTGTCTGTGGAGTCGCGGCCGGCGGGGGGGGTCCGGACCGCGAGGCCGCGGATGCGGAGCTGTTTGCGCTCCTGGCCGCTTGCTCCGCGTGTCGCGCCGCAGGCCCACCACGCTTCGGCGCGACACGTGAAGCACGTCTGCGTCCCCAGGCGTCATCGTTCTGAGCTCTTCTCAGCCTCCCGCCCCGCGGAGCGGAGCCACACGCTGTGAATTCGCATGGCATGGTGCATCGCCGGGACCGCCGCCGCGGCACGCTTACCAAAAACTCTCGTCAACACTGTCCGCGGCACCAGCCCTTCCAGAAACGATTTCCAGACGGGCTTTCATGAGAGACGAGCGTGAGGCTCGCTTGTCGTTCCCGCCTGATTCAGTAATCTGCCGCTGGATGCCGCATCCTTCCAGCGATGGCTCTCCATGTGTGCGCGCAGTGGCGTGTGAGCCTGCACCTCTCATAGTAGCACCACGCGTGGCCACAGCCTCTCCGCAACGAATTGCTCATACAGGTTGCATATGATTGATGTTGCTTTGTGCGCATGCGCTGAATGCCAAGAGCTTTCTATCTTGCATGTGAGTAGTTCGCTAGATATCCCTTTTTACGTATAGTCCCGGGCCTGAGTACAGCAAGTGGTCATGATAAGGGCAGTGGGGGAGCATCGACAAAACAATGAGGAAGCAGACTAGTTAAACCCCCAAGCAGCCCAAGCAGGAACCCTGGGGCAAACTTGGAAACCTCTGGGCGCCTCTTGGAGGCTTCTGGGGTTCCCTGGGGTCCGTTTCTGAGCTTATTTGGCCCTCCTGCGGCTATCCTCGGGATCTTTTGGTGATCTGTTGGGAGTTTTGGAGGACCTGTTGAGGCCATCATGAAAGCTGTCGATAGATCAGAGGTGGGCAGTTGATTGATGGAGCCCCCATGGAACAAGAACGTGTTTTCGTTCCTGCTAGCTTCAAGCCCGTTCGTGGCGCACCCAGGAGGAGTTGGCCGTCGATGAGCTGGACAGGCGGCGTGGTCGTCTCGACTCTAATCACGACACTGCTCTTGCCGCATTTGCGCTGGATGCTTACGGCACCCGAGGCTTCCACTGTGTAAGCATACTGGGGCGTGCGACGGGCGTCAGGACGGCGCCGAGACGGGAGGCCGTCGTGAACGGCGCCTGACCTGTCTGAGTATCTATGTATATCTGAAGCACCCCGCACTTGCGGATGAGAGCGATGGAGGCGGGCGCGGGATGGGTCGCGGGTAGATCGCGGGTGGGTCGCGGTTGTTCCGCGACTGGGTCGCGGGTGGACCGCGGGCCGGGTCGTAGGGTGGGTCGCAGGTGGGTCGCTTGCAGGTGGGTCGCGGCCGGCTCGCGGCTGGGTCGCGGGTGGGTCGCGGCCCGGGTCGCTGGCTGGGTCGCGGGTGGGACGATGAAATCAAACAACAAACAACGCAACAACAACAATCCGCACCGCGGAGCCCCACTTCAGCCGCGCACCAAGGGTCAGTGAATGACCGCTCGGCCCCCTCGCTCTCATATGTCTATAGATATACACATACATATACACATATATCGCTGGCTCGGAATTCCGTGTTGATTGCGCACGTCTGGTTCGTGAAGTGGGCAGCGGACCGAGAGGTCCAGAGCTCGAACAGGATCGAGGCGTCCGAGCCTCGGGCCCTCGTCGGGCCCCGCGGGAGCCACCAGACGGAGAGCCGGCCCCCCAAGGGAGGGGGGTAGACCGAGGGAGAAAAACTACAGAGAAATGCTCTTTCGGACGTCCTCGCGGATCGCCTGGATCGGCGCTTGGTCCTCCCTCCCTGGCGCGCGGAGCGCGCCAGGGGCGGCGCCGGAGGCGCCGCCAGGGGGGTCCAGCGCCGATCCAAGAAATCCGCGCGGACCTCCGAAAGTTTTGTTTATGTGATTGTTGTTCTTCGGTCGGGAGGTGCGAAGGAGGCCCGCGTCTCAAGGGAGAGGGGTCGGGCCGCTGCCGCTCTGGTCCGGGGCCTCCTTCCCCACCGCCGCTGCTCGAGGGTTCTGGCTTTTGGAATGGCTGCCTGCCTGCTGCCGCGCGCAGCCTCTCCTCGTCCCCCGGCCTCGGGCCGCCGGGGTTTTCTGGGGCAGCCCCGGGGGGAGGCCCTTCTCCTTCGCAGCCAGGGATCGACGACCTGTCTCCCGCAAGCGGCAGCGCGCCTCCTGCTGGGGCCCTCCCTCCCCTCATCCCCCGCTCCCTCTCCCCCGCTCTCATGCTCCATCCCCCGTCGTCTTCTTCTTCTTCTCTCTATTCTCCCCGCCCTCCCGCCCCCTCCAGTCCTCCCCCCCCCGAGCTTCGCCTCTTGCTTCTCGTGGCCCCTGATCCTCGTCCTCGCCCGCCGCCTCCCCGTGTTCCCCCTCCTCCTGCCGCCACGCCGGGGCGTTAGAGCGCTCCTCCTCGAGAGGACAACGTCTCGGGGGGGGGGGGGGGGGGCACGATGGAGGGCCACGCCAAGATCGGGAGGGGGCCAACGATGGGGGGCACGACTGGGGGCCAACGATGGCGAGATCGGTGGGGCCAACGATGGAGGGCCACACCAAGATCGGGGGGGGGAGGGGGCAACGATGGGGGGGCACGGCGGGGGGGGCCAACGAGGGGGGCCCCGATGGGCCACCCTATTTCGAGGGCCCAGGCTTCCTCACCAGGCGTTGAGAGACATATTATGCACAACCCGCACAGGCAAGCTGTTCAGGGGATTTGCTCGAAACACGTTTGCATCCCGAGCTTGTGAGGGTCGAGGCAGTGCCTCAGGACTGAGGGGATCGGCTTCGGGCGTGGAGATGACGGCCCCGCTGCTTTTGTCCCGCTGCTTTCCTGAGGGGATTTTGTCTGACACTTTCGTCGTCTGCTGGCCTGATTGCTGGAGAGGTATCGAAGTGGGGGCATTCGACCGCGTTTTTCGAGAGTTCACGAATTGTGTTATTCGGCCGGGTATTCATATGAATTTCTCTCCGCAGTTCACATGCTTCCGCAGGTGGATGTTCTCGCACCCTCCGTACGACAGTTTACGGATCAACCAGACCGTCTACTTCAGTTTGTGCAGCATCTACGCCTTCTGCGCGTTCACACTGATTGTTGGCTGCAATTTCGACTCCCATGAAACCAGGCGGCGCGTCGCACGCGGCATCGTGCCCAGAGAACTTATACCTGTGGGATTTGGCCGTTGTAGCTGGCTGGTTCCTCAGTACTCCGTGCCCAGCGAGGTCTCGGAACAGTATTACATTGATGAGAAGCTCCTTCAGTCCAGGAGCGCCGATAGTCTCGCGAGGCGGCTCGAGAAGCGCAGCCTCCTGGGTTACCTCTGGTGGTACGTAACGCAGTTTCCGGAAGTCGTATCAAAAGAGCACTTGGCACTCTCTGTACTCGTGTCCGCGATTCCCGCGTTTTCCCGCTTGAAAAGGTGTTTCTTGATAGTTCTGCATCTCCACATCTGCATGCTGGCGGGGGCCCTGTTGATCAATTATCGCGAGAATCGGAACCCATACGGAGTCTACGAGGTCTTCAGTTGTAAGCCTGGTGGCGAGGATTGCATGACCACCGTCCCGCTGGCGGTGGCGGCCGCCGCAGCCTTCGTGCCCGCCTTCCGGATCTTGTTCAGGACGCCACTCAGGTTGCTTGCGGTGCGAATCGGGATGCGAAGTTCTTTACTCGTCCAGCCAATTAGTCACCCGTGATTCGGGTCCCGCCTCCGACCTCAGACTCCCCCTCTCCGGCGACGCACAGAGGTGGAGCGCCCAGTAGGGTTTGACCGAGTCCCTCTCGCAGCTTGGAGTCTCGGTTCATTGTTCAAAAGATCACTCTTCCCCAACCTCATCGGCCATTGTGTTCCACGGGGGGGTTTGAGGGGCATTTCGATTCTTTATCAGCTCCGAAGTCGTCATGTGAGCACGAGGTCCGTGAGTTAACTACACTCGATTCGTCGATGCAGCGTCGCCTATCCATCGCTCCGGCCTTCTCTTCGAATGCTGCCATTTAGTTTGAAACACGCGGGTCTTGACCTTTTGAACGGGTGTAAAAATTTACGATGCCAGTCCACCTTGCAGTTCCTTTGTCCTTCGCAGGGGTGCGAAGATAATTGCGCTTCGATCGTCGCGGCCTGGGCCAGAGGCACCTTTCTCGAGGGAGGGCGTCGCGAGGGCGCGAAGGTAACCGCGCGTCGCGAATAGCCGGTGCGCGAAGTTGGGTGACCTAGAGTTCGTCCCTTGGAGGTCTCGCACCCGGTCCCATGGTTTCCCAGCGTGCTCAGGGCCCCTGACAGAATGACTTGAGTGATATTGCAGACCAGCTTGCTTTTTTGTGTGTGTGGGGGGGGAACTCCAGCTGGAAAGAACGGAGAATGGAGAATGCTTCGACCCATTGCTGCAGTTTTCTCGGGCGCGCCAAGCCCTGGTTTAGCAGAGTCCCCGTCCACGAGTTCCCTGACGTGCAGGTCACATCTTATTCTCTTTGAGAATCCAGCGACCTGCGCTGGCACCCCCACCAGGCAGAATATATGTGGGGCACCGAGAGGTCATAGGCCCAATTATCAGGACGGCCGAAAAGAAGGACTGAAAGCTTGCTGTGTGTGTATGTGTCCCGCCGCGCGCGCGCCCTCCCGTTCGGTGACTTTCTCCGCCTCGTCGCTGCGCGCGAGGCCGCGACCGCCCAAAGTGTGTGTGTGTGTGTGTGCGTGCGCGTGCGTGCGTGCGTGCGTGCGTGTGCGTGCGTGTGTGTGTGTGTGTGTGTGTGTGTGTGTCTGTGTCTGTGTCTGTGTCTGTGTCTGTGTCTGTGTGTCTGTGTCCTCTCGTCTGCGCTTCGACCCGAGGTGGGACGTCCCCCTGGATGGCGGTCAGTGCGCTCCCTTCCCTTCGCCATCCACGCCCGGATGGCTATGTGCTGCCCCCTGCTGCGGGCCCGCGCGCGCACCGGCTTAGGCCTCGGCCGCCGTATTTGATTTGCTCCGCCTCGTCGCTGCGCGCGAGGCCGCGACCGCCAAATAGTGTGTGTGTGTGTGTGTTTGTGTGTGTGTGCGTGTGCGTGTGCGTGTGCGTGTGCGTGTGCGTGCGTGCGTGCGTGTGTGTGTGCGTGTGTGTGTGTGTGTGTGTGCGTGCGTGCGTGCGTGCGTGCGCGTGCGTGTGTGTGTGTGTGTGTGTGTGTGTGTGTGTGTGTGTGTGTGTTTGTGATTGCATGTGTGCGTGTGTGAACATCATGGCCAGGGGCATGAAATCTTCCTGGATTCATGGCACCCTCTTCTTCTTTCAATGCGCCCCTGCCCCGCCTCCCTACTCTTCCGCGCACGTGCCGTTGTGCCCTACCATCCCCCCCTTCCCGGCCCTCTTCGGCGCACCTGAATCCAGACATCCCCCGAGTGTCCCGAGCCTCTGTCTTCTGACGGTCTCGCTCCGCGTTTGCAGCGCACTCGGCTTCGAGGATGCTTCGCTACCGGGACTGGCAGCTCCATCGTCATCTGGGGTTTGAAGGGCCATCCCAGTTGGAGCCCGACACAGGCTTCAGAAGAACTGCTCTGAGGCTCCGGCTTCTTCCCATGCCTCGAGCCGTAGCCTGAGGGCCGATTGAGCAGAGGATGCCAAAGGATAGCACAGGAGGTATTCGCCGAGACGGGGGGCTGTCGATTATCGCGGTGGGGCCAGTCGCGCCACGGAGGTCGACTGAGTTGGGTAGGTGGTAGAAGCAGTCAGCCTGAGAGGGTCACATCCAATTTGCCGTGTTCTAGGTGGTGCGCCCTCGAGCCCACTTCAGATGCGTGAGCCAGGCTTCAGTGACATTTCGCGTGGCCTGACTGAGGCCAGGCGAGCACCTTTTCCTACCACCCCCTGGATTAAAAAGTGGCGATCGGCACTATGGCAGGGAACAACCCCTGGGTCTTCGCCAATCGAGAAAAAAAACTCCAGCTTCGACCTTCGATCGATCCCAAGTAACTCCCAGACAGAGTCGTGACCCGAACGGAGGAACGGCGACGCAGGGGTGGACGAGACGCGCGCTTGTTAGGACAGCCCAGACGAAATCGCCACTCTTTGGCGGCGTAAAAAGCGGTCGGAAAATACCTTGCGAGGAATTCTCAAGCGGTATCGCCGCTCTCAAGCGGTATGAAGATGGATCTGATTTTTTTGTCTGCGGAAGTCTCACGCAAAATCGCCACTTTCAGATGCCGCGGCAAATTTTCAGATCGCCCTTGAAGGCGATCTGATTTTTTGTTGGCGGAAGTCTCAGGCGGAATCACATTTTCTGACGTTGACCCCACGTGGCCGTTATAATATTGAAAGGGGTGAGAGATGCATCTGAAGTTCCCAACTCGGCCCCAGGTCCAACATTGTCCCAGGGCCCCGTGGCCTAACGGGAGGCCAACCGTGTCTCCCTCGATCCCCGCGGTCTCCACTTTTTAATCCAGCGGGTTGTAGGTCACCCGCGGGGCTGTGAAGATAATCGCACCTCCCGCGTCGCGGCCTGGGCCAGAGCGGGGGGCGGCACAAGGGCGCGAGGGCGCAAAGATAACTCCAGTTCGACTCCAGTCCGACTCTAGTTCGACTCCAGTCCGACTCTAGCCCGATTCTAGCTCGACTCAAGTTCGACCCAAGTCGACGGACGCTCGACGCAGCTTCGACGCGTGAGTGGAGCGAGCGGCTGCTTAGCCAGGTCCCCAGGGTCTGCCCCCGGCGTGTGGCCGCGCGCGCCCCGGCGGCCACCCTGCCGCGACCGGGCCCCCGAGGTTAACGTGCCTCGTGCCGCTCGGGCACCCCTGCACGTCTCAGTTCCCCCTGGGGCCGCGCAAGTTCGCGGCGACGCCTGGGCGCTCTGCGTGGGACGTGCTGCTCTGCAGGCGCACCCCTCGGGAGCAAGAGGTGCGGCGGGTGGAGCTTCAGAGGTCGCTGGCGCGCCGTGTCCTGAGGCTGCTGTGGAGGGCGACCTTGCCGTCCGTCAACTGCCGGCACTTCTACGGGGTGGCGCTGTCGTGGCTCGTGCTGCTGTTCCAGGTTGCGCTTGCAGCAGCTGCCGCCCTGTACGTGCTCACGTTTACACTCTACCTGGAGGATGCGGCTGTGTACCACTGGCTGGTCTGGACGATTACCATGCATTTCTCTGCCATTTTGCTGATCGAGCCTCTCTGGATCTTCTCGATCGAGGTCATATGGCGCGCGGTAGTAGCCGATGTGGCTCAGCATTGGGGCATTGGCGACCATGCCCTGGCTTCCTCGACGCGGTACAGGCGAGTTGTGGAAGAGGTCGAGTTGCGTGTCCTTCGCAAGCTCAGGGTGGCCGGCGCAATCAGGATTCAGCGCTGGTGGGCCGCCGTACTGGAAATGCATATTGCGATACATCAGCAGAACGCAGTTGCCATCAAGGTCGGGAGGGCTCCAACCAGAACCTGCGCGCCTATCCGTCTGTCATTCTTCTTCCAGAGGAGATGGTAGTGTCTGTTGAGCGTTGATCGCAATGACACTGCCTGCTGGTGTGTCCGGCGTGGAGAGATAGTAAGAACAGGCTTGTCCGTCTTTCTGCCTGCGGCAAGCCCCACGGCCGGGCCGTCGCAGCATCGCAGCATGGACCTGCTCCAGTTCAGCGCCCTGTCTAGATTGGCGCCGGTCTTGATCAGCCCCCTGCTTGTTCCCAGCCTCGGCATCCTCCTCTCTCATCCTCATCCTCCCTTCTTATCCTCCCACTCCTCCTGATTTTGCCACCTCCGCCTGGAGCCACTCGACCTCATCCATGATTGCGGCCTGCTCGGCAATGACGCTGGACGCATGGGCACTGGCGCTCATCCTTCCTCTTCTCCTCCTCCTCCTCCTCCTCTTCCTCTTCCTCCTCCTCCTCCTCCTCCTCCTCCTCCTCCTCCTCCTCCTCCTCCTCCTCCTCCTCCTCCTCCTCCTCCCTTTGAAGACATTGTATAGTTTTCTCGCGGGATCATTCCTGGCCTGTGGTGGGTCTCTTGGTGTCCTCTTGGGAGGCGCGGTTCGGGGGACCGCGGGGGTCCCATCGGGGTGCCCGTGGCCCTCCTGGGCGCGTTGCTTCTGCAGGGATCGCCCGAAGAGGCATGGCCCGAAGGGTCTTGGAAACGTCTGGCGGAGCTCGGGGCCGTCCCGGGGCTGCCTCCGGCCTTCTGGAGGAATTCTGGGGCAGTCTCGCGGCTCTCTGAGTAGATCTGATCAAATACGCTCGGGAATATCCACGTCCCCATTCCCAAGCATCCACGTCCCGAGCCTGTCCTAGCCTCCCGCCCTGCGGAGCTGAGCGACACGCTATTCGCTTGCAGGGCACAGCATGTCGCCGGGGCGGCCGCCGCTACGCTAAGCATACGTTCCTGCCCTTCCAGTGCACTCAGTCCGCCGCACACCTCACGCGCACCAGTGGCGAGCCGCCCTCCCCATGAGTGACCAGAGGAAGCCTTTCAAAGAAGCGCCAACCAAGCGGGCCATGGCATTCCGCCGCCGGATCCCATGAGCCTGTGCTGCGCGGCGACGGAAAGGGAGAACGGGAACGAGAATCAGGCAGGCGACCGTGACGGCGAACGCGCAGGTGGGATGCCAGGACCAGCGGGACGAATCAGGCGGGCGGCGGGCACGCGGCAGGGGACACAGGGGAGACAGCCGAACACGGGAGGAGAAGGCGCGGCTCTCTTGGGCCCACCGTGGTCCGTCTGAGGTGCTTCTGTGGGTTCTCAAACTCTCCCAGCGCGGCGTGAAGCCAAAAAGCCAAGAAAGCAAAAAACATGACTTCTTCAGACTTCTGCTCTTTGTGCTAGTCCTCCTCGGGCCTCGCTGGAGGCCTCTCCCAGCGTCTCCTGCGGGCCCGTCGGGGTGCACGTTGGAGGCCTCTCGGGGGCACCCTGGAGCTTTCGGCGGGTCGCTGGGAAGTCTTGGGCGGGCCTCCTGGCGCCTTGTGGCGGTCCATGGCCGTCGCGCCGCCGCCTCGCGGCAGTCTTTTTGGCAGTCCCTGCGGTCGTCTTCTGGCGGTTTCTGGCCGTCCTGAAGCCTTCCGTACAGTCAAGGCGCTGAAATAGGGGAACGAAGAATGACATAAACATAAAAACTACTCCGAGGCCCGCGCGGATTTCTCGGATCCGCGCTGGACCCCTCTGGCGGCGCCTCCGGCGCCGCCCCTGGTGCGCTCGGCGCGCCAGGGAGGGGGGTCCAGCGCCGATCAGAGAAATCCGCGCGGACCTCCGAGTTTTTGTTTGTATTTTTTATGCCGTTCTCCGTTCCCCTATGAGATGAGGACTGCTTGGGGCTCAGGAGGGGCTCGGGCTTGCGGGCCGCTCCTCAGATTCCCGTCGGGGATCCTGTCTGTGGCCCAGGCCCGCCGTGACCAGAAACACCCCTTCGTTCATTCTTACGCGTTCCTTATCCAAGATAGCACGGTGGCTGTATGCGGGACGGCGCCCTCGGACCATGGCGTGAGCCCTGCCAGACAGCCGCCGATCATGCTCACATTCCTCCGTCGCGCGGGCGCAGCGGCGAATTCTCTGGAGGGTTGTCTGGGCCTGCGACCAGCTGTCTGCATCGGGGGGGGCCGGGGATGCCAGCTGTCGCCTTCTTTTCATGCAGCTCGGAATCAGGGAGACTCTGCCCGCGGGTGATGCTACTTGTCACTTGCTGCGACTGCCCCCAAGGTCCAGGCCAGGGTGAGGAGGAATGCCCAGTTGACCAGGCTGCGACCGCCCTCGCCCGGCTGCCTCTCCCTCTTGTTGTTTGTGTTGTTTGTCTGTATATAGTTTCAGTGTTTCTCTCGCTCTCACTATTTTGTTCTCTCTCTCTCTCTCTCTTCTTCTCTCTCTCTCACTCTCTCTCGCTCTCTCCATCTCTCTTTGTTTCTCTCTCTCTCTATCGCTCTCTCTGTCTCTCTTCTTTTTTTGTTGTTCTCTCTCTCTCTCTCACAATGTCGCTCCATCTCTCTCTCCCTTTCTTTCTTTCGCTGTGACTCTCTGTATTCGTTGGCCTCTCTGTCCCCTCCCTTTATAGTTGTTTCTGCTTATTTTCTCTCTCTCTCTCACTCTCTCTGCTCTCACTCTCTCTCTCTCTCTCTTTCTGTATTATATATGTATCGTTATCTCTCTCTTCCTCGCTCTCTCTCTCTCTCTCTCTACATCTCTGTTTCTCCGCATATGTTGATACGTGTGTCTCTCTCCCTCTCTCTATCCCTCTCTCTCTCTCTCTCGGCCTCTCTCACATACCCCTTTCGTGCTCCCGGCAGTTGTCCTCGCCATTCGACTCTGAATCTTACCCGCACCAGCTCATTCTGGCGTTTCCCGAGATACATCGGTATGCCGCCGCACCGATTGCTTCGCAAACTCACTGCGCCCGCCAGGCCCACCGTTTTTCTTGTGATGTCCCTGGAAGGAAGCTGCCCCGGTTTCGTTGCCCCACCTGCGCCTGCACCTGGGTGTTCAGCACACGGTGAGCTCAGCGCTCGTCCGGATCAGTGATGATGTCCGAACACGGCTCCGCCGCCGCCTCCCCCTGGCCGGCCGCCCCTCGCTCGAGCCCATCGCCGTCCCTCGCCCGGCGCGCTCCGCGCGGAGCTCCGAGAGCTTACGGTTGTGCGGGTGGTTGCTCCTCGAGCTGGGGCTCGTTCGACGGCTCGTTCCTGTCACCGGGTCATCCAGGGGGCCGCGAAGGGAACCGCGCTCCGCGCAACGCGGCTGCCTTGGGCTCGAGAGGCCCCCTTCTTCCATGGCGGCGGCGCGAAGGCGTGAAGACAAGCGCGCATCGCGCATCGCGCATCGCGGGCCGCGACGCGCGAAGTCAGGTGACCTGGCTTCCCCTGTCAAGGTATCCATGTGTGCCAAACTTTTGTTGAAGCTCTGTGATGCGCGTGGACGGCCAAGGCTAGCGCTGAAGCGAATGAAAACGCAACTAGCTGGGCAGCTAAACTTGCAACTGTTCGGGTGGTCTCTGATGACCAATTGCATGTCGCTGAGGTTTCCGCGCGAGTATACCCGTGGAGTGGTGTACTTTTGGAGTGTTCGGTGGAGGCTCAAGCTCAAGGTCCAAGCTAACAAGAGCTAGAAGCGACCAGCCACGATCTCAAAACAAAAATTGCTGAACTGGCATTCGGGGATATAGTGAGCACCTCGACGCTAGTGTGAGCACAGAGAGAGAGAGAGAGAATGACCATGTAAACAGCACCCTTCGGCTAGCCCAAGCTTCTGCTCCACCTCCAGACCTGGTACGGGCTCTCTGGAGGCGCCTTGGGGGGCCATTGCGTCTTGGGGGCATCTCGGGGAAGTCTTGGATCATCTTGGGGTCCTCTTTGGCCGTCTTGTGGCTCTCTTGGGCAGTCCTGGCCCCCTCCCTGTTGGTCCATCTTTAGGCCCTCTTGGCCAGTCCTGGCCCCCCCCCCTCCCCCCTGTTGGGCCGTCTTCAGGCCTTCGTGGAGCGCCCTGGGCCATTTTGGGACCATCTCTGGGCCCTCTGGGGGCCCTTTGGGGGATTTGCCCTGGGCTCTCGAAAGCCCTCTTGACACCATCTTGAGCGGAAAAGCTTTTGGGCCGTTCCATGATCTCGGGCGTTTTGGGGTCCGAAGGGTGCCTGCTGGGGGCCTCTGGGGCCGTTCGGGGTGCTCCGTGGGGCCCTCTTGGGGCAGTGCTCGGCCCCTCTTGCGCCACCCGGGCGCCGCCGTGAGCCTTCGTGGGCCCTTCTCGGGCCGTTCGGAGCCGCCCCCTGGGCGCCTCCTGCTCTCTCGGGTCCGTCTTCGCCGTCTCCTGGGCCGTGTCAGCGCCGGCGGGCAGAGGGCGAGAGGCCGACGAGATGGCCTGGAGAGCCACGCCGGCCGGCGAGCGTCAGGAGGGCCACTGAGAGGATCAGTGGCACGCGCAGCGTCTCTCGGGCTGTGCTTGTGGCCCGTTTGGGGCTTTCCAGAGAGGGCCTCGTGTTCGAGGACCGAAGGAGTTGCCATCTCTGCCTTGGCGGAAGCCGGCGGAAGCAAAACGAGGGCGGCTCCGTTGGCGCAAGACGGCGGAAGTTACAAAAGATGCGCCCCTGAGAGATGACAAATTTGTTAGGTTAAGGGTTCCCAGAATCGGCAAGTCGTCTTTTGTGCAAATGCGGGGTGGCGAATCCACAGTAGCACGCTGATGAGTCCGTCCTACTGGGGACGTTGGCATTGCCTTTGCCGTCGCGGGGGCCCAGGGCCCAGCACGGTCACAAGCCTCGGTGGACAAGCCGCAGGGGGGCGGCGGACTCGAAGAGCTTCGCCCTCTGCCGTCGGCTCCCTTCCACTGGTTGGCTCACAGGTTGACGGCAGATCGTTTGGAATCGCTCGTGAGCGCTCTCGGGGCCAGCACGAGGCACTCTCCGGCAAAGTTGGGGCAGTGTAGGTGCAGTCCTGGGAGCTTGCTTGGGGAAGCTCTGGGAGACGTTGGGAGGTTATGGTGGATATTGGTGGGCCGTTTTGGAGCCTTGCAAAGCGTTGTGGCGCATGTGGAGGTATTGCCAGGCGCTGGCGGCGATGCACTGGGCAGCAGTAGGCCCTCGGGAGCCTTGAGAGGCCATTGGAAGCCTTGGAAGGCTCTGGGTGACGCTGGGCGGCGCCAGAAGGCATTGGAAGGCCTGGGGAGAGCCTTTGGAGGCCTTGGGAGGGTTGATCGGGGCATTCGGAGCGATCCCTGGGCGCGGGTGCTGCGGACATAGTGTCCGTGGAAAGTAAACGTCCCATTGGAGGAAGCACGGCCAGATACATAGGCAGGACGAAAGATTTCCCTCTCGAGGTGAAAATGGCGATGGGGAATTCGCGAGCAGACATCGGCGCCGCCGGACGGACGGCGTCCGGGCCAGTTCTTTGAAGCAACCGGGAGGGGAGAGATGGATTCCTTTTGAGTGGTGCCCGCGCGCCTGTAGAGATGATGGGAGTGCGCGAGGCAGCGCAAGACCTGGCCTGGGAAGTTGATCACCAAGCCCCCCTCCCCAGTAGAATCTTAACACGGGCGGGCCTGGGGCCCGTGGATCCGATTTCGGTCGGTTCCTTGATTGAACTTCACAGTATACACTTGAACAGGTTAGAAGTCGGATCCGCCGTAAAAACTGGACGGGATGCGGGGCCCGGAAAACCGAAATCGGATCCGCGCAGACAGAAGTCGGATCCACCGCAACACAAATCAACACAATCGGATCCGCGCAAACTTGATTAGATCCGCCACCGTTCTTCTGATTCGCGTCCGTGCCTGACTTGAACCGTCTTCTTCCGGGGTCATGAGGAAAACGCTTTCGTCCTGGGGATGTATCAGTACTCTCGCTCGGGAGGGCTTGAAACCCTGAGGCAACATGGTGCGGGGGACGACAAGACCATCATATTGACAGGGCGAACTAGGGCAACATTGCACGGACAGTTCTTCTCCCTTGTTTTCCACAGGGGAGCGACAGGGGTTTGGGGGCACCTTATAGGAAGGCTGGATACGGGCGCAGATGTGTGGGGGTCGATGCACGTAGGTTAGGTCGTGCGTTCGTGGAGCAATCGAGGCACACGTTCTAGTCTGAATTCCGCGCGTTTCACTCTGACGCTGGGTCGATTGTCGGATGGTTGCGCTCTTTCTTGCTTGCCTCTCCCTCCTAAGAACATGTTCCCTTAGATGTTTCGCAGCACGTGCTCCAGCTGCACCCCAACTAGGGTGCGGTCTGGACGACCTGAGGAAGAGTCGGATACACTGCAGTGTTTCGTTGTGCCGCCCAGGGGAGGTCGTGCGAGAGCCTAGCTGGAAAAGCCAAGATCTGAGGCTCTGGAGGTCTGGGGATGGGGTACACAAGCAGAAATCGTTCTGACCAAGTTACATGCTTGTGAGACTGTCAATGAACGTCGCTCCGGGAACCCTCACCTTCCTAGCATTGTGAGTCCCCCCACAGAGAGGGCTCGCAGAGTGACAGTAGAACAGATGTGCCTCGCCAAGTCAAGATTGTGTTGCTTATTCGATGACCCACCGCGGCGCAGGTATATCAAGGAGCGGAAGTGGTGTTTGAAGGTCGATGTCCTCGACGCCACAGACCTGCACATTGTGACGCCCAATGGTCTGCAGAGCCCGCTGGTCTGCCTCCAGTGCGAGGGCGTCAACCCTCGCACGATGACGACCAAGGCACGGGGCTGTCGTGCGCGTGGGGCGCGCGAAGAGGGCAAATTGTTGAACGAGGGGGTACGGCAGGACGAGGACGGAAGTTCCAGTGGCGTCTGCGACAGGCCCTCGGGTCTCGCACGGCAAGGGTACCGCTGTCCATCGTGAAGGCAGTGGCACAGCAGCTCGCTGTGCGCCGACCCTTTTTCCAGTCCCATGGATCAGGTTCTGGTCTCTCGACATGCTCATCACGATGTTGCCCCATGTAAATGTCAACGGGATGTGTGCCATGTTCATTCGGGAAGCTCCGCTCAGTGGCGTCCTGGATGTTCGGGAACGTCGCGCAAGGCGAAAGCAGGGCATCATTAACACACACCTTGGGGCGTCTGGCCCTTATTATTCTTTATGGGCGGAGTGGTAGGTACTGCTAAAAGCTATTGAATAGCGGCAGGAGAACAGGGAGAGGATTGGGCATATATTTGAGCAGGATTCTTCCATAAACATGGCGCCTAGAAGATTTGAGGCTAGGTCTGACATGAAACAGGCCCGTGCAAGGACAGCACATGGGGCTTGCAGCAGCGTCTGCGGTCCTGATCCCGTCGCTGAGTTAGAACGTACGTTAGTACCCCGCAAGGGAGGGGTTCATTCTAAGGCTGCCACTCTTTTGTCGGCGTACCCAGTACCGGGATAAATCGCTCCAGAACGTATCATAATGCTCTTACAGCGTTCTGGAGAGCTTTGAGACGGCCGCTGCGCCCGATACATCCTCCAAACACTTCGTGTGAGCAAGGGCCATGAGGTTTGCCAGCCGACAGTCAGGCCAGTCGCGTGATCGCTGATTCTTCCAACGATCACAACGACAACGACAATAACGCTCACAACGGCACCAATCGTTGGCGTTGTCGTTTCATGATCTTTGTGATTCGTGTTATGAATATGATCGTTGACGATGGGCTCGTTGTTATCGCTGCTCTCGTTGTGATTGTTGTGATCGGTGTGGTTGTGCGACTCGGTCGCACGGGTCGGCTCAGCCCGATTGCGTGGGTCGTTTGCTGATGCGCCGGATGACGTAGTCGACTCGCGGCTTGGTTTGTTCGCCGTCGTCGGCTGCGCAACGTTGTAGAGGCAGCGCGCGCGGTCGCCCCAAAAAAGGAGGGTCAGAAATTCGGGGGTGCAACGATCGGGGGGGGGATGGGCATAGGGGTGGATGCATCGACCCCCAATCGCCGATTGATGGCCGATAGGGGTCTGATAGCCCAAGCACGCCCAGGAACGTGCGGATTCGCTATCGGGGGCCTATCGCCGATCTGTCGGCGATGCATCGCCAATTCCAGATCGATGTTTCCCACCTATGCCAGTCCCCCTATCGTTAGGTACCCCTCAGAGATAATTTCTCATCGCTTCGCTACACTCCTGGGCCACCTCGGGGACGTCTTGGGCCATCTTGGGATCTTGGGGCTGTCTCGGGGGCATTCTGGAGCTTGCCACCTCTGGACCCCCAGTCTTGTGCCGTCCTCGGGTACTGTTGAAGCTCTCTGGGTCCTGTCCTCTCCAGAGGCGCCCTGGTGAGATTTCTGAGCCACGCAGGGTCCCGTCCCTTCCAGTCCAACTTGAAACCTTCTTGGGCGATGTTGGATCCGACTTGAGACAATCTTGGGCGATGTTGGAGAGAAACCCATAGGAAGCAAAACGGCGACACAGCCGCAATCATCGGGACTCTACGGCTTTGCTTTAAGGATCTGGGCCTGCTTGGGGCTTCTTGGAGGCTGTCTTGGGCCGCCCAGGGGCTATCTTGAGGCCTCTTAGGGCTGTGGTTGGGCCGTCATGGGTCCTGGCATCCATTTATTCCGCTCATGGACCGCTGTTGGGCTCGCTTGCAGTTATTTGGGGGCCTCTCCCACGGCGCTTTTGGGTTTCTTCGGAGCCATCTTGACGCCCTTTCATCCCCCACTTGGGGCCACATTTGCCGATGTTGGGGCCATCTTGAGGCCTGAGAAGTTCATGGGAAGCAAGAGGGTGATGAAGCCGAAGTCACTGGAGCACCATAGGTTTTCGAAGGATTTGGGCCTGCTAGGGTAATCTTGGAGACTGTCTTAGGCCACCTCGGAGCTATCTTGGGGGCTCTTGGGGCTATATTGGGGCCATCGTGGAGCCTGCCAACCACTGATCCCAATTCCTGGGCCGCTGTTTGGCTCTTCTGGAGCTCTCTTGACCTGTGCTGTGGCGATCTTCGAAGTTTTCGGAGCCCTCTTGGAGCTTGTCCAGACTTCGTTTATTGGACCCACCCTGAGCGAACGCGGAGCCAACTCGAGGCTTTCGAAGCACAGAGGAAGGAAAAGGGCAGGAAGGCCGAGATCGTGCAAAAGGATCCTGGGGGGCCACCTCGGGGCCATCTTGGGGCCTAACAGTCATTGAGCTCTCTTGCAGCTCCCGTGAGGCGATCCTGGGGCTGTCTTGGAGATCCCGAGGGCCGCGTGCAGAAGAGCAAATCCAGCTCTCGCGCGAGTTTCCAGGGCTTGCCCGGGGCACGTCTCGCCCAGGAACCCCCGGGGCTGTTCCGGGCGCGCGCGCGCGTGGACTGGACACGCACAACCGCCCTGAACTCACCACCTACCAAACCACCCCAACCCAACCCGAAGGCCTCCATTTGCCCTCCATTTCCAGTGGGGGGGGGGTCGGGGAAAATTGAAAAACACGTATGGAACCCATACCCCCCCCAACCCGAAATTTGGGTCTTCGGGTTGGGTTGGGGTGGTCTGGTAGGTAGTCATGAACGTCGTGCACCTGAGATCCTGGCACCCCTTGACGGGGAGGGGGAAGAGTCTCAAGTTCGCGCCGCCGTCGGCAGCCCGTCGGCGAGCTGTGTGCTCCTTCGTGGCTGTCCAGGGGCATCGTGCTTCGTCAACAGCGCCACGCTGATGGATTCCCCGCGGCGGCGTGTCGTTTTCCACATCCTGCGTGGGGCTTTTTTTGTTTCTGGGGAAACCCTGCACATTCCTCTTCTCGCCACCCCGTCCTCCCCACCTCCTTTCGAACTCACCAGCGCCATCACACCACCATCGTCATCACTGTCACCGTTCCATCTTGGTCACCGACCAGCTTCTTCGTCCTCACCATCACCTCCACCACACTCCTCCTCCTCCTCCTCATCATCATCATCATCAGCATCATCGTTATAAGCAGCAACATCGTTGGATGATGGCGACTCATCATCCTCACCATCATCACCACCACCATCATCATCATCATCATCATCATCATCATCATCATCATCATCATCATCATCATCATAAGAGTCGTCGTCATCATCATCATTACCATCACCATCACCATCATAATCATCAGCATCACCATCATCCTCATCATCATCAGCAGCATGATGGTGACCATCATCAGCAGCATCATCATCATCATCAGCATCATCACCATCATCATCATCATCATCATCATCATCATTCTCGTCGTCGTCGTCGCCACCACCACCACCAACACCACCACCACCACATCCACCACCGCACACACTCACTCACACACTCGCACACTCATCTTGAGGACATCTCGAGCGGGAGCTTCGTCTGTGAGTGAATCGCGAGGACGACTCGAGCGGAAGCCCCTGCCAATGGGGTCCCCACGCCCATTTAGAATCCAAGTGGGGCCATCCAGATCCTGTAACGGTTGTCATTTTTATGCTCCTCAGGCCTGAATCTGGTAGGGTCCTCGAGCGGGAGCTTCGTCTGTGAGTGAATCGCGAGGACGTCTCGAGCGGGAGCCCCTCCCTGTAGGGTCCCCACGTCCATGCTGGAGTCCGAGCGGGGCCAGTCGGATCATGTAAATGTCGTCACAGTTGGGCTCCTCAGGCCTGAATCTGGAGGAAGTCTCGAGCGGGAGCTTCGTCTGCGTGTGGTGTGAATCGCGAGGACGTCTGGGGCGGGAGCCCCTGCCGATGGGGTCCCCACCTCCATGTTGGAATCCGAGCAGGGTGATCCAGATCCTGTAGGTGTCGTGACAGTTTGGCTCCTCATGCCAGAATCTGGAGGAGTTCTCGAGCGGGAGCTTCGTCTACGAGTGAATCGCGAGGACGGCTCGAGCAGGAGACTCTCCCGACGTGGTCCTGCCTACGTGTTGGAATCCGAGCGGGACCATTCGGATCCTGGAATTGTAGTCGCGTGTGGGCTCCTCAGGCCTGAACACGGAGGAAGTCGGGGGAGAGCGTCATCCGCGAGTGGACCGCAGGGAGGTCTCGAGCGGGAGCCCCTCCCCATGGGGTCCCCACGTCCCGGTGTCCCAACGGCCTCGTGATCTGGCCGCTGGCGAACGCGCGCGCGCCGTTTGAGGCGGTGCCCGTCCCTCGGAACATCAGCATGCGTGTCCTTGCAAGGGGAAGTATGGAGGTGGTGGGAGGGGGGGAGGGGCAGGAGGCAGGAGGCAGGAGGAGGAGGCAAAGAAGAGGGCGGGAGTAGGGCGGCCGCCGGGCCGACGAGGAGAATGGTGGGCAAGAGACAGGGGGAGAGCCTACGCAGTCCTCCACAGGACGACAACGATGACTACTTCCAAACTGGCCGCGAGGATTCTCATAGGGCGTCTGACCGTCTGAGTAGTTGATGTTGGTTTTGCTCCCCCATCTTTGGCCCGTTGGGCTTGCGAACTCGCGAGCCGATCGCTTCCGCGGCGCTCGTCCAGCAAGTGGGGGGTGCGGGGGGGGTGGGGGGCGCTCCTCGGCGGAAGGTGTCCTGGAACACGGGTTCCTGCGGCACCTTCAACGAGACCTTCCTCATCGACATCCTGGACAGCAGGTCTCGGGGATCACCCGCTCCTGCAGCGAATCCCCACCAAGCTCTGCCCTGTCACGCAGAGCGCGCATGTAGGCTCTAATCTTGGACCTGGGATGAGTCTGGTCAGGATCAGATGTGGCGCAGTAGGCGCATCAAATATGAAGTCGGCCTGCCAGCAGGTGCCCGACACAAGTGTCTCATCCCCCGGGGGCCCAGGGACCCACAGAAGTTCTGGGGTACCTGAGACCCCTGAAGTATCGACGAATACGCCGCAAGAGTTCTCATAGCAAGACTTCTTATCGTTTGTGGCTCCCGTGTACGGGCGGTGGCCGAAAGCTCTACCCATTGAATTGACATAGTGGAAGTGGTGGTCGGCGATTTCGGGGGAACGCGCCGGTTCTGGCTAGCCCTGGGACCCCAGAAGAGCTTCCGACCCTGGTGTGCCCCGCCTTCGCCTTCGCGAGCAGCGCCGATGTCTCGAAACGATGCCCGCGCGCACATGTACGTCATTGCCGTTCTCTTGAGGTCGCTGTACGTTAGCGTGTGGTCCAAGGACGTGAACCGGGAGGATTTCATTGGTCGCGGGTGCTTCGACTTCGATGGGCTCAGGAGTGGCCGCAAGGGCAGCACTGACACGCACCTCCTGAGGCGGGCGGCTCTTGAAAGGGAGGCCCTGCGGGAGGAACGAGGTCCTTCCTTGCGGGGGAAGGGCCTGCGACTCGCTTTACGCACGTCGTTCTGCTGGCGGCCCACGGGAGGGGCCCAGGGTGGAAGTCATGAGTCTGTTCGTTCATCAGGTGTCTTGTTGGCCTGATCCTCGGCGTCACCAAGACATACTATATGTGCGCCGGCCCGCAAAGGCCACGCGCGCACCGAGAAATCCTGTAGTACATGCGTCGTGGCGGGCGCTTTCTGGCCACACTACTCGGGAAGCGATACTACAAGATGGGTATACTATAGATTCGGGGCGGACGCGCGCCTCCAAGGTGGACATGTAGTACTAGTATGTCTCTGCGCGTCCCATATACTCTCCTCGGGAGGGCCGGAACTGTTCCTGGCAGCATTTGCACTTTGTTGTCTTCTCGGTGGGCTCTGTTGCCACCCGAAAGCCGATGCGACAAATAGATATTGCTCCCTCATTCACAAGTTCAGGCTGCAGGTGCGGCAGCGTTGTTGCAACTGTTGTTGATCAATGTATTTGCGTTGCTGCCACTTCTGTTGGTACTGCTGCTGGTATTGTGCCCCTGCTGCTGCAACTGGTGTTGCTACTCGGTGTTGCTATGAGCGGTAAGTTTGTAGTTTTGGGTCCGCTCCTGCTCCTGTTGCGAGTTATTGAGCCAGCATGCTGCCGCCTCTGCTGATTATGCTGCTGCAGCTGCCTATTGCTGCGGATTGGCTACTGCGGCTGCGACATGTTACAGCTGCGAATGCCACTGATCCTTGTGCTGAAGAGTGACCAAGCTGCTGCTGCCGGCTGGTGTTGCGACTGCAATTGCTGCTGCTTCCCCGAAGAGTGTTTGCACCGTGTGTCCGAAGCAACCGTAAGAGTCTGCCGAGGTTTCGCACGGTAGGCGGCAGTGGGCGCCTCGTAAGCGCCCTGTGCGCTGGGGTCCGCCGAGGTTTCGCCTGGTGGGCGGCCGTGGGCGCCTCGCGGGCGCTCCTGGCGTTGGCTGGGTCTGTCCAGGTCTCGTCGGGTGGGCGGCCGTCGTAAGACGCCTCGTGGGACCCCCCCGTGCGCCAGCCGTGTCCGCCGACGTCTTCTGGTGGCCGGCGCGTGCGCATCGTACGCATCCTGTGCGCTGGCCGGGTCTGCCGAAGTCTCGCCTCGTCGGTGGTCGTGGGCGACTCGTGGGCCCTCCACTCACTGGCCGCTTCTGCCGAGGCTTCGTCTGGTGGGTGGCCGCGGCTGCCTCGTGGGCGCCCCGTGGCGCTGGCCGAGTGCTCCGAGGTTTTTCCCAGCAGGTGGCCGCGGCTGCCCCGTGGGCGCCCCGTGCGCTGCCCGAGTCCGCCGAGGTTTTGCTTGGCGGGTGGCCGTGAGCGCCTCGTGGGAGCCCCGTGCCCTGGCCGGGTCTGCCGAGGGTCCGTTTGGTGTGGCCGTGGGCGCCTCGTGGGCGCTCCGTGAGCTTAGTTGGGTCTGCCTGGGTTTTGCCTGCCTGGGGCGGCGTGGGCGCCTCGCTCGGGCGCTCCGTCAGCTTGCGGCACATACGTTGCACCAACTCCGCTAACGCCTCCTCCTCCTCCTCCTCCTCCTCCTCCTCCTCTCCTCCTCCTCCTCCTCCTCCTCCTCCTCCTCCTCCTCCTCCTCCTCCTCCTCCTCCTCCTCCTCCTCCTCCTCCTCCCCCTCCCCCTTCTCCTCCTCCTCCTCCTCCTCCTCCTCCTCCTCCTCCTAACCCGAACCCTCCCAGCAGGTTGTCCCGTCTCTCAGCCCAACATCTCACTGGGCTGTGGCCCACGGTGGCAAACATCGTCTTGCTTCTTGTTGCTGCCACCACTGTTGGCACCGTTGGTCGCACAGCCGGGGATATAGAATTGCTACGAGAGGCTCATGGCGAGACTGCTGTTGTAACTGCTGCTGGCTATGCCTGATTCGACCCTGATGGTTATGCGGATGCTGTTGCCGACGATCATGTTGCTAGTGCTTCTACCGCCTGTTGGTCCGGCTGCAACTGCTGCTGCCGTTGCTACTGACATGTTCCGTGGTCACGGGCTTAAGAACACAATACATGAAGGGCAAGAGGCGAATCGAAGGTGTTGCCTAGATTCACCAGGTTGCCCATTAGAACAGACACCAGTACGCCTTGGGAGCACAGCCTGTGAGTACTCGGTGGCGTCATCTTGGGCCATCCACGCAACAGAGACGCAAGCGCAATTGCAGAATAATGTCAGACAAAGGTAGACCTGTACAACGATATGAGCGCTCCACTCAGCACATGCAAGAGACCAGGCGTGCAGGCGATGATGATATATGAATATGAATATGAAAGAACGTTTTCTGCCGCTGCTGACAGGAGGTGGGGAACCTTCAAGCCCCCTCCCCAAACAACTACTGGGGGGGGCGATCCAGACACCCCACCCTTGGACATTATGTGGAAGGGTCCAGCCAGCAACGACAACGACATCGCCGCCGCCAGGAAACGACGCGGACGACGACGACGAATACGACGGTGGCGTCGACGACGACGACGACGACGACGACGACTACGACGACGACGACGACGACGACGACGGACGACGACCACGACGATGACGACCACGAGGCCGACGACAACGACAACGACGACGGCGACAGCGTTGCCAACGACGGCGACGATAACGACGCCGACGACGACGAAAACGACGAAGACGGCAACGACAACGACGACAATGAGGACGCTTACGACGAACTCGACGACGACGATGATCGAGCCCTATTGGGATTGCATGAACGCTGGATCGAGCCCTACTGGGATTCTGTCAGTGCTTAATCCAGCACTAGGAGGATGCAGTTCATGATGGAGCAAGCCCAAGTAGGATTCTATTCGATTGTGAACAAATTCCATAAGGACTGTTGCATTAATAGTGGGTCGACCCTTAGTATAGTTCCGTACTGCGTGAATCCCGCCCCGATGTGATTATTTCAGAGTGAGAGCCAGCCGTAGTAGGATCTTTTTAGAGCTGGATCAACCCCAAGCTAGGATTTTATCTGAGCTGGATCGGTCCTAGTAGGCTACGATTAGAAATCGCCCCAGCTTCATATTTTTTTGAGAACTAGATCCAGCACCAGTGGAATTCTGGTAGAGGTGGAGCGAATTCGAATAATATCCTTTTAGAAGTCAATCGAGCACCAGCAGTTTTCTATCAGAGCCTTCGCCTTGCGCTGGAGCCGGCGACAGGTGCGCAGCCGCCGCCGCCGCTGTCGTTGTCGCCATTGTCGGCGTCGTCGTAGGCGTCGTCATTTTCGTCGTCTTGGTCGTGGTCGTCGTTCGTCGTCGTCGTCGTTCGTCGTCGTCCGCGGCAACTGTCGTCCGGAAACGACGAAGACGAAGGCGACGATGACGGCGACGCGGACGCCTACGACGACGCCGACGGCGACGACGATCGAGCTTCTTGGAACGGGATTACAGCTGTGGACCGTGCCTTAGTGGGATTGCATCACAGCTGGGTCGAGCCCTAATAGTTTTGTTAAAGCTGAACCTGGCCTTCGTAGGGTTTGATTCACGATGGGGCGAGCCGTAGTGGCAGTGAGAAGCTGAGAGAGCCGGGTTCAATTGCATAGGGAGTTTTGAATCAGTTTTGCATCGAGCTTGAGAAGTTGTCTATCAGACCTGGGCCCAGCCCTGATATGCTCCTGATATGCTTCTACTGGAGCTGGAGCCAGCCGTAGTAGGATTAGAGCTGGGTCAAGCCCTAGTAGGATTCGATCAGAGCTGGGTCCAGCCCTTGTAGGCTAGCAGGATTCTGTTAAAGATGGACCAAGCCCCAGTAGGATGCCATCAGAGCCGGTTCGAGCCCGAGTAGGATTCCTGACTGAGGTGAACGGACCCCTAGAGGGATATATATATATATATATATATGTATATTAGAAAAAGTGGAGCCCCAGCGGGATTCTCTACAGTTCGAACGAGCCCCCATCGGATTTGATGAGGGCTGAATCCAACCATGTACGGTTTCAGCACGAGCTAGATCCAGCTTCAATTGGGTTGTATTAGAGCAGGAACGACCCCGATCTCTTTGGGGCTGGACCCAAACATCGTAGGTTTTTTTAGAACAGAATCGAGCCCTAATAGGAGTCTATCAGAGCTGGGTCCAGGATTTCTTTTAAGCTGGGCTGACCGTCGCTAGGG